TGATCTGACAGTTGGCGTGAGTTTGAGCCCCACATAAGGCTCTGTGCAGACAATGTGGAGCCTGCCTGGGGTTCTGTCTCCTCTCTCTGCCCCTCCCCTACTCGCACTGTGTCCTCCCGCAAAATAAATAAACATTAAAAAAAATTGAAATATATATATACATAATAGCTATCCTAATATGTGTGAAGTGATAACTATGATTAATTTTTTAAAAATCTATTACTAATTTTGTCTTTTAGTTGTATTAATTTAGTAAAAAACCTCCTATGATGGTAGATTTGAAAATTTGTTGTAGGGACGCCTGGGTGGCTCAGTCGGTTGAGCATCCGGCTTCGGCTCAGGTCATGATCTCGCGGTTAGTGGGTTCAAGCCCCGCATTGGGCTCTGTGCTGACAGCTCAGAGCCTGGAGCCTGCTTCAGATTCTTGTGTCTCCCTCTCTCTCTGCCCCACCCTTGCTCATGCTCTGTTTCTCTCTGTCTCAAAAATAAATGAACTATTAAAAAAAATTTTTTTTTTAAAGAAAATTTGTTGTTGTTCTGTCAGTGTTTTCTTTATATTCAAGTCTATTTTATAAGTTAGAGTTGACCCTTGACCAACATGGGTTTGAACTGCTTGGGTCTACTTATATGCAAATTTTCTTCGATAAATAAATACAGTACAGTACTGTAAATGTATTTTTTCTTTATTTTCTTAATATTTTCTTTTTTCTAGGTTACCGAATCATAAGATTATAGTATATAATACATGTAACATATAAAATAGATGTTAATCAACTATATGTCAACAGTAGACTCTCAGTAGTTAAGTTTTGGGGGAATCCAAATTTATATGCGAATTTTTGACTGCATAGGGGAGTCCGTGCCCTAACCGCCCTCCTGCAGTGTTAAAGGGTCAACTGTATAGCCAGGTTTAAAATTGTAGTGAATTGTTATTATGGTGGATTTGAATTGCAATGAATTGAACCATTTAGTATTACATAATCCCCTTCTCTATTCTTACTATGCTTTCTGCCTTAACATTTTTTTGTCTGATACTAATCTTCCTATGCCATCTTTCTTTTGGTTAGTTAGTGTTTGCAAAATATATGCTTTTCACTTTTCTTTACAAATCTTTTTATTCCATTTTACTTAGCATTATGAAATACACATTTTCACTCTGAATAATTTTCTTAATTTTTAGTGTTACAGTAATTTCTGCAATCAGTCCACTATTGTTGGATTTTTTTTTTTTATAGTATTCAGTTTTTTTCTTTTCTTTGCTCTTGAATGACATCATGTATACCTGGTGTATATAGTTTTTTTGTTGTCGGATACTTTCATTTGGGTGAATTCTTGAAAGTAGGATTATTGGCTTTCTTGGGTGTACACATTTTTGGGCACGGCGGTGGGGAGGGAGCCTTTGATGTTGCCATATTGCTTTTCCGAGGAGTCGCACCTGTTTTTCATGCCACCAGCACTATTTAAATGTCTGCTAGACACTATTGACCATATGGTACACCATCATTTTATGAATTGCTAAAAAAAAGAAAAACTGGGGCGCCTGGGTGGCTTAGTCGGTTAAGCGTCCGACTTTCGCTTAGGTCATGATCTCGCGGTTCGTGGGTTCGAGCCCCGCGTCCGGCTCTGTGCTGACTGCCAGCTCAGAGCCTGGAGCCTGTTTCAGTCTTTGACTCCCTCTCTCTCTGACCCTCCCCTGCTCACGCTGTCTCTCTCTCTCTCTCTCTCCTAGAAATAAATAAAACGTTAAAAAAAAATTTAAAACAATAAAATAAGAAAAAAAAAGAAAAACTTTACATTAAACTGACACAATACTTTTTTATTTTGAATTTTTATTGAATACTTCCTAGAAGATATCTTTTAGGTGCAGGTAGACATAGATTTTTATCATACCACTTTTTTTTTTTAAGTTTTTTAAATATGATATTACTCTTGAATATGCACATTACAAGGAATAAAATAAGCCAATTAAAATAGCTAGGGTATTTCAAAGCCTTACACTTAACATGCAATTCTTCTGTGATACTATTTTTTTTTTCAGTTCATCAGAGAGAGAGAGAGAGCAGAGAGAAAGGGAGCAAAGGAATCCCAAGCAGGCTCCAGGCTCTGAGCTGTCAGCACAGAGACCAATGTGGGGCTCAAACTCATGAGCTGTGAGATCATGACCTTACCCAAAGTCAGATGCTTAACCAACTGAGCGCTTCTTCTATGTTATTTTTTGACTCAAAGTTGTTTCTTTATTTTTCTACACTATACATTAAAAATGTTGATGATAGTGGGGCGCCTGCGTGGCTTAGTCGGTTAAGCGTCCGACTTTCTCTTAGGTCATGATCTCGTGGTTTGTGGGTTCTAGCCCTGCTTCGGGCTCTGTGCTGACTGCCAGCTTAGAGCCTGGAGCCTATTTCAGAGTCTGTATCTCCCTCTCTCTCTGACCCTCCCCTGCTCACGCTGTCTCTCTGTCTCTCTCTCCTAGAAATAAATAAAAATATTAAAAAAAAAAAATGTTGATGATAGCAAAAAAGGAAAAAAATTCCTTAATACCCCAATAAAAAATGGGCTAAAAACTTAAGTAGAGATTTCTCCAAAGATATGCAAAGAAAGGGTCAACAGGTTTATGGATAATGCTCAGTTTCACTCATCATCAGGGAAATGCAAATCAAAATCACATTGAACAGGAGGGGAGAGGGACGCCTGGGTGGCTCAGTCAGTTAAACGTCCAACTTCGGCTCAGGTCACGATCTTACGGTTTATGGGTTCTAGCCCCATGTCAGGCTCTATACTTACAGCTCAGAGCCTGGAGCCTGCTTCCGATTCTGTCCCCCTCTCCCTTTGCCTCTCCCCCCTCGTTCTCTCTCTCTCTCTTTCTCGCCCTCAAAAATAGACATTAAAAAAAGAAAAACCCACAACAAACAATTACCTTACACCTCTTAGAATGGCTAGTATCAAAAAAGCAAAACCAAAAAGTGTTGGGGAACGTTGAGAAATTGGAACCCTTGTACACTGTTGCTAGGAGTGCAAACTGGTGCAGCCGCTGTGAAAAATACTATGGAGATGCCTCAAAAAATTAATGATCCGTATGATCCAGTACTTCCACTTCTGAATGTTTAAATAGAAGAATTGAAATCAGGATCCTGAAGAAGTATTAGCACTTATACAGTCATTGTAGCACTATTCATAATAGGCAGGTATGGAAACAACTTAAATGTCTGTCTGTGGAGAAATGGAAAGAGAATGTGGTATGTACATACAAGATGTTATTCAGCCTTAACAAAAAGAAATCCTGTAATATTTAACAACATGGATGAACCTTGAGGAAATTATGCTAAGTGAAATAAGCCAGTCACAAGGACAAATAATGTATGATTCCACTTAAAATGATATCTAAAACTGTCAAACTCTTGGAGGCAGGGAGTAGAACGGTCATTACCAGGGATTGGGGAGGGGAAAATGGGTTGTTAATCAGCAGTTAAAAAATTTCAGTTATGTAAGTACATATGTTTTGGAGATAATGCTGTACAATATTATGCCTAATTTAACAATACTGCATTGTACTCTTAAAAATCTGTTAACAGGGGAGATCTCATGTTAAGTATTCTTACCACAGTAAAAAAGAAATTTTTTTTGAATGTTGCTGATAGAGGATTTCTTATGAGTGGTTAATAGTAGTTACAAGATGTTCTGAATTAGAAAATGATACAGATGTCAAATATCTTAAAATGTGAAAGATTGCATTCTAGAGTCACTGAAGTATGATGATTTCACTATAATTCACTGGGTATCATTTAATATTTTTCTTTAACCCAGTGAAATGTAAAAATGCCATGCAAATTTTAACTTGCATTTTTGTTAATAAATGTGGATATTTTTCAGTGTTGTAGGAATATTATTTTAGCAACTGTTAAGATCTTGAGTATTGAAATTAAAGGTGAGATTGTAGTTTCTCATTGAAGTTTACCAAGTGTTTCCTCAAAGGAAGGCCACTTAATATAGATATTACTTGATTTTGTTAAAATGTAATTGCAGAAGTACTGTTCTCTGGAACTGGCATTTATGATGCATGTTAAGCAATTATTCTTGAACTTGTTTATGAGAATCACCAGGGAACCTATTGGATTTTGAGTAATGTAGTGTAGAGTGAGGTGTAGGACTCTGTATTTATCGCAATAAATACAGCACATTAAATTTTTTTGTGTGTATTTATCACAATAAATATCACAAGCAGCCCACGTGATTACCATGCTCATGGACCATTTTGAGAAAGTGCAGAAGATTGAGACAGAGATGTGGATTTTCTCTTTGGGGATACTGGCTAGAAATTTCTAGAAGTAGAATACTTGATTAGAAAGCCATGGAAACTTGTAATAAACAGTTTTTAATTTTAGGAGGTGAGGGATTTGGGTGTATTAAATGTGAAGGGTTTTTGGCATGTCTAGGTTCTTGAGCAGGAGAATTACATGGTATATCTGGATTGTTGAATGTTACATGTAATTCTGTCTTCTGTAACAATGTGAAAAAAGAAAAATGGAGATTTTTGTTGAGGTGATTCTTTTTTATTGGTAATTGCTTCACTTCAAGGCTTTGTCAGTTCCTTTTTTATCTAGCATAGACTGAGATTAGGCTAAAAAAAGGTTTGATCAGTTGTAAGCTTCACGAAGGAGATGGTGTTCATTCTTTTACCTGTAGTCTCTAAAACAATGCTTGGCATGTAGTAGGCATTTAGTATTTGTTGAGTGTATGAGTATGCATAACAGTTTACATATCAAGTACACTTTAGGAGTAACAGTTTGCTCTGAATCTCTTCAAGTTATCTCTCCAGTTGTAATTGATTCTAACATAGAATTTATATTAAACCTACTGTGGATTTTTAATTGAGGTTTTTTTGTCAAAATCGTTGGATTAATTATATCATTTAGATTCTTTCCATGTAAATCACATTTAAAATTTTTATAATTGCTATTACAAATAGAGCTTTTGTATTAAAAGCATTTTTATTTTTCATTTAGGAGTTAACAGAGCAGTTTCACCATGTTGAATCCCAACTGAATAAGCTAAATCATCTTCTTACTGATATTCTTGCTGATGTGAAGACAAAAAGAAAAATTTTGGCATCTAATAAACTGCATCGAATGGAAAGAGAATTATATGTGTATTTTTTAAAAGATGAAGACTATCTGAAAGATATTGTGGAGAATTTAGAAAACCAATCAAAGATTAATGCCGTTGGTCTGGAAGATTGAAAACTATTAAAAATAGAATCTTCACTACCTATGCTGTGTTTTAATGTTTTATATATTAGGAGGAAATTATAGCTAATAAATAAAATTATAGCTAAAATTTTAAATGTGAGGCCAATGGGACATTTCATTTAATTAATTCAAATATTATATCAGTTTGGTTTTTTTTCCTTATATACTATGTTTATTCAGAGTACCAGTGCTTTCTATGACTTGAACATTTGCTTGGTGGCACCTAGTTCTGATAACTTTTTACTTACAGGGAAAAAGCATTTTTATGTAGTGCAAATTATTTCTTACTAGAAAGTTCAGTCTCTTACTTTTTTTTCTAGAAATAGAAAATTTCTACTGTTAAATATTTTAAACCTTGTAGAACTTTGAATCAGCGTTGTTAAGCCCTAATAAGGGTTTGTAGACTTTATTATATTGTAGACCTTAATATGGAATAGCCAAGTCCTCTCATATTTGACTATAAAGTAAAATATGCAAATTATATCCCCCAGTAATTCCCTGCTGTAGACTTTGAGACTCTGACTGTTCGTATTTATACCACTAAGAATGTTGAATGTCCATTGGCCATTATTCATTTCAGCATCTGGGTCCTAGGGACTTAGAATTTCTGCAAGACATCTTAGTGCTTTGACTTCAGTGTGACACATTATGATTGATTTTTAAATGAAACTTGTAAATGCCATAGAAGTGGTTGCTCAAAGTATGTATAATCTATTTTATCTATTCTCTGGAGTGAAAGTACTTAAATGCTAGATTGTATCACTTGGGTTACAAGTGTATTATTTGGACCATTAGAAATTATTTTGAGTGGGATAAAATAATTTGAAGTAGCTTATTTATCAGTCATGACATCAGGTGCTTCTTGAGTACTTGATTTAGATGTGGCCTGTGTTATATACTATGTAAGCTTTATAGAGGAAAGGGAAGATCTAGATATTCAAGGAATATTCCTTATTCAAGAATATTCATGCTCCAGAATATATTACTTTTTTAATATGGTAATCTAGTCTAAAAACTACATATTTTAGGTGGTCTTTGTGGAAATTTTTAGCTATAACCATCAGAAAATGGGTATGCTTAGTTAACCAATAAGGCCTGATAATTTTTATAATCTGTTGAACAAAATTATTTTGCCTATTATTATATTTGTGCATTCTTTAAAAATTTATATTTATTAAGTAAATCTGGATAAGCTTGAAAATTTGTAATAATAAATTTTGTCTAAGATTTTGCTGTTAGTTCCTCATGGGTGACTTTTATTCCTTTTAGTGGAAAGAGAATTTACTTAAAATTTTTTTTCTCCAGTAATGTGCAAAAATATGTCACCTGGTTTCCTGGCTCATGGAACAGCAAATTCTGTTTAGATTAGTGCCATATGACCAGCTACTTGGTGATTTGTACTGTCCCTTCCAGACCTACTCAGCCCAGGGGCCAGTACAGCTGAGTGGTGTACATGAAATGATGTCAGGTTGTGTGTCTATCATAATTACCGAAGTCTATTTATTAAAAATGTTTGTTACTAGATTTGTATAATTGAAGATTATATATAACAGCCATTTGTTTCAGAGCTCAGGAAGTATATGAATAGATTGCTTGCTTCAAAATTGGTTAACTAGAAAATGTATTCTTTGTTACCTGTTTACCATAATATTCCAGTTGAGGCTCTAACCATTTTGCCGCCTTCTTGCTGTTGTTGTATTGGTAATTACGGAGGTAATTGATCCCTATTTTATGTGGTCATTAATAGAGAGTAATTTTTATGAATATCTCCATATATAACATTTTTTCAAATAACTTCTTAATTTTGAAATAAAATTAATATATGGATATTATGTTTATCTTATGTTTAGGATTTATGAAAATGGAAAATTATGAGGCATTTGTAGGCATTGATCCCTGTAAGATACCGCTCTCCAGTGTTGCTCAGAAGATTATGTCTGCTCTGCACTCAGGTGACTTAGTGGAGTCTAAGCATTGGAGAGGGAGTGAAAAGAGTGAGTAATTTTTCTGAATCTATCTGTCTTTAGTTACCTTAACTAAGGCTTGAAAATGAACCAGCAGAATTATTCTAAGGAACCTTACATTGTATAGGGAGGCCAGCTACTCTTGGTTTCCTCTCATTCAGTGATGACTGAGCTGCTGCTTGCTAAACTTCACATTTTCTTAGTCCTTAATGCTTTAAAATGTAGCACTCTCTTCCTTGTTCCAGGCATTTATGCCAAACATTTGCTGAGAATCTGCACTGGCTGTGTAAGTGACCTCGGCAGAGATGGGCCCTTTCAAAATGCCCCTGGCTTCAGCCTTAGCTCTTGGGTCACTGAACGTACATTGACAAAGTATTTGCTTACTAGGTGTGGTGGACAAGAGAAGTATTTTTTAACAGAGTGTGTATTATGCTGCCAGAGAAATGAATAAACTCCTAGGTGGCAAAGATCAACATATCTGTGTATATGTGTTTTTGACATCATACATAATAATAGTGACATAAACTCACCAGTGTGACTGAAATATTTGGAACACCAGTTATTTTTTTTACTAGCGAAGTTTTCTTTTTTTATATTTAAGTTTGGGCCAATTTGTTGTTTCTTTTCTACAGAGTAAGTTATCTATGATTGAGATACAATTGAGTAATTGTGATGAAATAGTTGAGAGGATTGACAAATTGTGCAAAAGCTATATATGTGCAGTTTCTTTTTTTTTTGAATATAGCTTAGTAAAAGTTTATTTGGCAAAATTGAGGAAAATTAACTAGGAATTAGATACTGATATTATGGAACTATTGTTGATTTTCATAAGTGTTGTAATATTATGGTTATTTGGCAGAATGGATTTATTCCTAGGAAATGCATGGTGAAGTATTTAAAAATGAGGTGTCATGTCCATAATGTGTAATTTAGTTTCTAATGATTCATCTATGTATCTATCTATCTATCTTTATCAACTATCATCTAGTTATCTATCATCTATTAATCAATTATCTATCTACCAGAAGAGAGATTGATAGATTGAGAAGGATGACCAAATATTTGCACCTAGTAAATCTAGGTTAATGATATATGGGTATATTTTAATACAGTCATAATTTATATATGTGCAATTTCTTGAGGAAAATATAGGTAGCACTTAACATTTCAATCTGTTCATAGTCAGGCACCTGTTACTCATGAGCCTTGTTACAGTAGAAGTCATTAATGAACTGGTAAGAATTTTTGGGTATGGACTACCTACCTAGCAATTGATAGTGTTTTGGGGAGTGGTGAGAGGCAGATAGGAAGAGCCTTCTCCCTTATTCTGTATACTTTCTAAAATAAAAGAGCAATGTGTATTTGACAGGAAGAAATGTACTTCTCTTTAAAAACCGATAGTATTAAAAAAATGATAGCAATTGTAAAATGTCTCTGTTAGCTTTAGTGTGAGTGTTGAAATCAAGATTTATGGCCATCAGTCCATCCTGTGAACTCTTGTCATGTTCTCTAATACCCCATAAAATTCTAGTTTTCATACATTTACTGAGAGGTAATGGGAACAAATAATGGTATTTTTCTGTCAAATGTCAATGGATTTGGAAAAATAGTGGAGTTTTCATATGGATTCTGTATTGTCTGTGTCTGTATTGACACAGAAGTGTCAGCCGGGGCCTTGGTCTCACCTGAGGCCCGAATGGGGAAGCATTTGCTTCCAGTTCACATGCTTGTTGGCAGATTGAGTTCCTTGTAGGCTTTTGGACTGAGGGCCTTGAGTGGTTGTGGCTCTAAGACACCTTCAGTTCCTTTTCACGTGGTTCTCCTTAGGCCTGGCTTTACAGTGATAGCAGCTTACTTTCTCCCTGGCAAGACTGTCATCACGGTCGTCTGCAAAGTTAATTGGGAACATCCTGTCACTGTTGCTGTACTCTGTGGGTAAGGAGTGAGCCAGTAAGTACCACCCACGCTTAAGGGTGTGAGTACTAGGAGGCAGGGGTCTTGGGACCACCCTGGAGTCTGTCTGCCACAGACTCCCACCAGTTCGGTTTCTTATTTCATATGGATTTGATTAAATTGGTTGCTGGTGGGTTATTGATGAATGATGCTGGACCTAAGATCTAGTTCATTCCTGGCCCCTTGTCACATGCTGAGTTGTTACTGCATCAGACCTTTACCTCTTTACAAGTAAGATACTGTATTTGGCGTTTCATTTCTAAAGCCCATTTCATACCAAATAAATACAAAAATCGAGCTCCTCAATCAGCAAGAATAACTACAAATATTTCTTATTTCAAACAAGTAACACCAAACAACATTACCGTTACATGTCATTCAAGGTCTGCGTTTCTGGTGGGCTACACTAAGGGATTTTGCGATGCACATGCAGTAAGGGATGGATTACATATATCTTCTTGCTGCAGAATTGATCTTATTTAAAAACCCTTTGCTGTGAAAAACAAAATATGCAAAAACTTAAACTACAATTTAATGAATTAATATGAAGAGGACATCCATGTAATGCATCTTCAAGACCTGAACATTTCCTTCTCAGTTCAAACTCTCTCCTGTTCAAAGGTAACCATCGTCCTGACTGGCACTTCCTCACCGCCACCTCCTGGTCCCTGCCACTTCCTGGTGGCCATTCTGTGTTACTCCAGAGGCCTTTTTGGCAGCGATTACATGTCCACAACACCACCTTGTCCTTCCGAGGAGCAGGATCAGACTGCATGACTCAGTGTCCTTGCAGTCAGGTGTGACCTGGTTTCCTGTCTGTGGGACGTGTGCTCAGGTGGTGTGTGCCATTTCCAGAGTAGGCCCAAAGACATTCAACTTGCTCCCTAGCTGGCCTCTTTCCTTCCCCCCAGTAGGAACCTCAAACCGCTCCTTTCAGACTCTGCAAATGATAACCGTGTCTAGAGGATTGTGGAATGTGTTGGAAACCCCAGTCCTGGAGAGACTTCATGAGACATTTGCAGCCAGCTGAGAACACGCACTCAGAACACGAAAGGGAAATAAACTTTGTTCTTTAAGCCATTGTATTGTTGAGTCTTTTGTGCCTGTAGCTTAGGTTTGTACCTTAACCCTTATTTATACCTTTCCTTCTTTTTTTTTTTTAGAGAGAGTGCATAAGTTGGGGAGGAGGCGGGGGCAGGCAGGGATAGAGAATATCTTCATAAGCAGGTTCCATGCTTACCGTGGAGCCCAATGCAGAGCTTGATTCTATGACCCTGAGATCATGACCTGAGCTGAAATCAAGAGTCAGATGTTCAACCACGTGCCCCAATCCATATGCATTTAAACTTGGTTGCAAAGGAGCACCTGGGTGGCTCAGTTGGCTAAGCATCCGACTTCGGCTCAGGTCGTGATCTCATGGTTCATGGGTTCGAGCCCCGCATCAGGCTCTGTGCTGACAGCCAGCTTGGAGCCTGTTTCAGATTCTGTGTCTCCCTCTCTCTCTGACCCTCCCCTGCTCACACTGTCTGTCTCTCTCTCATAAATAAATAAAATATTTTAAAAAATAATAAACTAGGTTGAAAATTGGGTTCATCTGACTTAAATTTTCACAGAAATTGATGGTTCAATAATACTGTTGAAAGTCTTTGGTAAATACCAGGGGAAGAGGAGTTTGCAGGGTGATTTCAGGGCTGGTGGCTCACCTGCTGCTATGTGTATGGCTATGCATATGATTAAATACGTTTATTAGAAGATTATCTCTTGTTTTGCCTAAGGACCTGTAGAAATCAAATACACATTCTACTACACATTTATTTTTCCAAATTATTTTTCATTCTAACAGCTCAGGTGTAAATATGGTGTCTTCCAAAACAAAAACTTTTACAGACATTTCTAAATTAATTACAATTTGTGACCCTCCCCCCCATATTTATGAAAATCCAGTTCATTAATAGGAATTGTGTCTGTTATTTCCCCCATCTGTAGAAATCTCTGTGATTTCAAGGACAAATAACATAAAGCTAAATGACCAAGTAGATCTATTTTGATTATATTCATTGTGGTCAAGAGTATAATGGACAAACATTTTGTATTTTATTTCTATTAAGTAAATGTAAAATCCTTAGCAAGCGCTGCTAGGTGTGGGATTTCGGTCCCTGCCACCCTCATACCAGCCTCCGCTCCTCCTCACTGGGATGTTTGCAGTGGCGTCCTAATTGGCCATTTACCTGCGTTATTGCCGCTCTGGACTTGCCTTCATGCCTTTGCTCGAACTAGCTCAGCCCTCATCCTGCCCTCTGCAGAGTGCACCTGTGGAAACCTCCCCTGTGCCCGCAGGGACCCTTGCCGGCCCTTTGTAGTCTTGTGTCCCACCGTGGCCCCTCTCACTCCACACCCCACTCAGATTGGCCTGTGACTTCCAAATGTGACATTTTCCAACCTCATCCTCTGCTTTACCTTTTCTCTCTCTTCACTCAACTGAGGAAAGCACCATTTTACAAAATGCTTCCCCCAGGGTGCCTTAGAAGTAAGCCGTCTTGCAGTCCTTTGCCGCTCAGTTGAGAGAACATAACTGAAGTTCTTGGGCTTCTCTTTAGGGCGCTTTGAACTCGTTGAGGCAGAGCAAGGTGTTCTCGGCTCCGAATGCTGTCCCACATGGGTTTGGCTGTGAATTCCTCTCTTAGTGATTTGAAAGAGCTTTCTACAAACATTACTTACATGTGGAGAACTCTTCTGGTACATATATTGTAAATGTTTTCCTCAGTATTTTGGGGAGGTCTCTTTTGTTTGTAGTACTCCAGGAGATTTTTTAAAAACCAAAGAAGTCCCTGATTCCACATTCAAAAAATTTTTTTTACGTTCTTACACATACAGGCACATAGCGTACATCTGTGCCTTGTCTTCTTAGTTTAGGCTTTTGCTTTGTTGAGCCCTCTCATTGCTAACCCGTGCGGATAACTTAGTACGTCGCTCTTATATCTGTGCCCCTCTCTGTGATTGTAATCACAGCCTGCGTATGAGGCTGCGCTGGGCTGTCTGGGCCTCTCCCCGCTTCTTCTGACGGGACCACCTGGGGC